CCTCGATTTGAATCTCAACCGACTCCACTGACTAGTTAGTGATGTGTGACGTCTCTGAATTCTGTTTCTCATTTGGTGCCAAATGGTGCTAAAACCTACTTCAGAGGGTTGCTGTGAAGAACCTAATTTCAATTTATTATTGTAGGTAGAGTCCTCAGGGGAACCAGTACAAAGCAGGTGCTCCATAAATGGGATTGCTCATAATATCATCTTAATTTTAGGCAGCCTCTCTAAGTAAATGGTAAGGGATGTTTCTCACAGAAAAGTTCACTTGTTTGTACATATTCTAGTCAATGCTGAAGTGAGACTTTAAACTACAAAGTACTTTGGAAGCTGATAGTCTCAATTTTTCTATTGTAATGTTGTTCACATGTCTGCTCACTCAATAAATATTTACTGAGTAACTGAGTAACATGTCAGGTACTATTCTAGGTAGTACGGATACAGCGACAAATAAGAAAGTTCCTGCCCTTATGATGAATATATTCTAGTGGGAGAGACAGACCATAATCAAACTAACTACTGACTTACTCTGTATGTTGAGAGAGAGAATGTAATGAGGTACTATTTGAGATAGGGCAGTTGGGTCAGTTATTCTCTCAAGCAAACTCCTGAGTTAAGTGAAGGACTAAGCCATCTGGATATCTGGGGGAAGTGAGTTTCAAAGCAAAGGAAACATATCACTTGAATAAGTGCTTGAAGATGAATTAGTTTGTTATGTTTTTATTTTTTCTAATGTAAAGACCCTTGCAGAAAATTTCACTTGTAACTTATTACCCTGTTAACCTAAAGCAACATAAAATATTTTCCCTACCAATATTTTTCTAAATTTATTTGTATTTATGCATACAAAAGTTACTGTGTACATAAAATTCTTTTTTTTCAACTTAAGCATTTCTTCATGTTGTCTTATAATAATTTTAACAATGTCAGTTATTCCATTAGAGTCTTATGTAAGCATATTGTCAAAGATAAAGTGCTATATGCCTAAATATGTTCATTGAAGCATTATTTATAGTTCCAAATAGTGGAAACAACTAAATTTTCTCACAATAGTATATATAGATTACTTCTGGTGTTTTAGTAGTGCTGCAATGAGTATCTTTTACCATAATGTTTTCTTTTTTTGAATTATTTATATTATTATATTATTATTATGTATTTTAATTCTCCGTTTTGAGGTGTCTCTATATTTTTCAAATAATTCTCAATACACGTTATCGAATGACTTTCCAAAGGGATAATAACAGGAACATATGAATATATGAACACTCCATGTATTTTCCAGTATTGGGTATATGTAACACTGTTTTTAGTACTTAGCTAAAACTAGCAATTAAACTATTAATTAGCAAAAGTTAGAACTTCATTGTTTTCTTTTGAGTTTCATGGCTTACTCATAATGTCCAATGTATTGCTACTAGAAGTATTTCATCTTGGGCTGTTTGTCTTTTTGTGAAGCAGACTTATTTTAAAAGGTTTTAAAAAAAAATTACCATGGGTTTCTTATCCTCAATGCAGGCCCATTATCTGGACATAGGATCAGAAAGATCCAAGCCAGGAATTTTCTAATATGTATCTAAAGGTGAAATTTTCATGTATTAAAGAAAAAGTCCTTACACCTCAACATAGTGCTTTTTAAACTTTTTTATTATGGAAAATTTTAAACATAAAAGTATGAGAGTACTTCAAAAGTTCATGGAAAAATAGACTTAAAAGATATATAGATCTTTCCATGAACTTTTTGAAGACCTTTCATACTTCCTTACCTAGCTTCAATAAGTAACAGTGTTCTGCCAAACCAATTTCTTCTGTTAATCCCCACCCATCCACCCGCCCTCTCTTTTTGCTGTAATGTTTAAAAGCAAATCCTAGAAATCATGTCATCTCATTACTAAATACTTAACTGGTAAAGACTTTAAAAAAAAAAAGGAAAGAAAAGAAAAAACTACCTTCACACTTCTTAACAAAATTAACAATTCCTTATTATCATTTAAAACCCATATTCAAATTTCTCAAGTTTCTAAAAAATGTCATTGGGTTTGTTTGAATCAGGATCTAAGCAAGGTGTATACATTGCATTTGGCTGTTCTGTCTCTCAATTTTTTAAAAATTCTGTTAGGAGTACTCTCTTTTCCACCTTTTTTTTTTAACCATCAATTTCTTATGAAACTAGATATTTTATATCCTATAAAATGTCCCATATTCTTGATTTGACTGGATGCTTCCTCATGGTATTGTTTAACTTATTTGATTTATCCCCCCCCCTTCTGTATTATCTGTAAACTATTAATTTATACCTACAGATTTGATGAGTTTAGGTTCAGTATGGCAGAGGTTTGGGGAGTAAGAATAGTGGGTGGTGGGTGCTGTGTACTTTTTACTGAATCACATTCAGAGGTGTTAATGACTGGTTGACCACCTTTATTGATGCTCAGATTGACCACTGGCTTCAAGCAGTGTCCTTTAAAGTTACCCATTGATGATTGCTGCCTAGATCCAATGGTCTAGGTAGCAAAATGCTGAATTTTCTATCATTCCTTTTATATTTCTTAGCTGGGATCCTACAAAAACTAACTTTATATTGTCAACCATTTAGTTATCTTGAAATACATTTCCTACAGGAAAGGTGGGATAAATGTTTGACTCTTTTCCTTTTTAAGAGTAATTATAAGAGTAATGAGTGGGTTCATTAACAACACCCAACAGAAACTAATGAGTTTTCATTTTTAAAAAATCATTATGAACTCATGAAGTTATGTATATTTGATGTGACTTGATCAATTGCAGTAGTTTGCTGTTTTGTTTTGTTTACTTTTCAAATTGTTTTATCTGAGCCAGAGTTAGCCCCTTCAAGTTGGTGCTGTACCCTTTTGACATGAGCCCAGCATTCTATACCATCTTACTATATTTCCTTGGCCCATCAAGGTAGATCAAGCTCATCTTGTCAACTCTGTCCTGTACTTGAAATCATCTATTTCTCAAAGGAGACCACTTCAATGAGGGTATTTAGAAACCACACTCTGGGTACTAGGAGTATTCATTATTTCTGGGATATCATTTCTTCTTGATTTTTCAGTGGATAGATAATAGAATCCATTTTTTAAAAAGAGAAAAAATATGTGTACATACTGATATTTCTGATTTAAGTGTAAGATTGCAGTTTCTTTTTTTTTTTTACTTGGCTGATTTTATGCTTCTTTTTTTTTCAGATGGAAATCTTGCTTTCCAAATGTTTTAATATAATTAATTATTTGCTTCATTATACAATCTCCCTATAATAATTTTATGTAAGCAATAAAAGCAATGCAAATGACAGGATTATTTTCTCTTGTATATTTTTAAGATGTACAACATGATGTTTTGATACATAGTGAAATAGTTACTATAACCAAGCAAGTGAACACATTCATTGTTCTTAGTTACTTTTTGTGTGTATGGTAAGAGTATAAAAAATCTACTCTCTTAGCAAATTTCCAGTGTATTTGAAAATGGTTTAAGATTTCTTTGTAGTTCTTTTTGTCTTTAGAATTCTTATTCATCCATTAGGATTGTACCACCAAACTACTGTGTTTTAAAGTCACTTGAATGCATTATTTCCTTTCTTCGGTCATGTAATCAATCTGATGTGCAGTTAAGTTAATTTGTTTCAACTTCCTTCAATTTTTTAGGGACTAGTTTTTTTCTGTTTTTATTTTTTCACTTTTTAATTTTATACAACAATGGTTGAAACCATGTATACACTTAGGAGCTCTTTGTATTAGCTATGTTTTTCTGGGATATACTTACCAAATGCTTTCTTCAGACTGACCTTTGTCTTTGACTTTGCTTATGGTGTTTTTCAACATACATAAGTCATTTATATACATATATATAAATTTTTATGTAGCTAAGTTTATTAAACTTTAACTTGCTTTTGAAATTTGAGTCATATTTTTGACAGTTTTCCCATTTCCAAATTAAAGAGACATCCATCCTTTTTTTTCTCAAATCCTCATTTTTTATTGACATGGGATAAAAATGAAACATGGAGAAACTGTGATTTAAATACATTATTTGGAGATAAAATACTGGAAGAGTAAAAAACAGCGTCAATTAAAACTGCTAGCGCTGGGCTAAGGAGTGGAAGGGATAGGGGAAGAAACTTCACTTTTTTTCATAATCTATTTTTTTTTTTTTGTCTTTTTTCGTTACCGGCAACGGATCACAACCCTCAGTGTCGCGCCCGCACCTCGCTCAGCCAGTGAGCGGCCGGTCTGTATGTGGGATCCGAACCCTCAGCGGGAGCGCCACCACACTCCCAAGCGGCGCACTGTAGCAGTGCGCCACCGGGCCGGCCCTTCATAATCTATTTTTAATTTGAGTATTTGTATGGTTTGAATTGTTGCATTTAGATCTTGCATCCATTTGGAAATTATTATTTAGTAGTTTTTTTTTTTTTAAATATTAGGCACTTTTTCTTCCAGATGCTGTTTTAGATACTGGAGATATAATGGTGACAAGACCAACAATATCTAATTTCTCTCGGAGCTAATGTTCCAGTGAGGGAAGACAAACCATTAAGATGATTATAGATAACGGTACATGCTATAAAGACAATAAAAAAAGACCACATGAAAAAGAGGGACTGAAGAGATGCCTGTCTAATAAGATGATATTTGAGCTGATTTCCTGAATCACAAATAGAGGCCACCTGTATCAAGGTCGGGGGCAGAATTGTCCAAGCCAAAGGAATACTTAGTACAAAGGCATTGAGGAGGAATATTCCTTAACACTTATTAAATGCTTACTATGAACCATATACAATACTAAAACACTACCTGAATTACCTCATTTATTTCTTACAACAATCTTTTGAGGTAGTTTTCTATAATAAATCCCATTTTGAATATGAGGTCATTAAAGTTGGAAGATGTTACATCATTGGCCTCTTCTCAGCCTCCAGCATAGCTTTAAGGGCTCAAACTGCAACAGTGAATCCTTGATTTTTCTCCCTCCAGGCTTTCATGAGAAGGACAAGAAGCCATATTGCCGAAAGGATTTCTTAGACATGTTCTCACCCAAGTGTGGTGGCTGCAACCGCCCAGTGTTGGAAAACTACCTTTCAGCCATGGACACTGTCTGGCACCCAGAGTGCTTTGTGTGTGGGGTCTGTATACTTACTTATCTTTTGGATTTAGGGTAAGTCAAGGGTTCTCCTCTCAGAGGAAGAGCTGCAGCTAGTCAGAGGGCTCACAGGCCCAGATAAGGAATTGAAGTGTACTTCTTAAAGGAGAAACATGACACAGCATCCACTGTGGACATGGGGCCTCTTCTGTTTTGCAAGTGGGCGATCTAGCCTTCATTTGTCACAGATCCAAGTGAAATTCCTGCAACTGGCAGGTATCCGGAATTAATTTCAAGGCTGAAAATTTAACTTCGTTGATGTTTTAGCTCTCAATGTCTGCAATCTTTTTCTCTCTCTTTTCTTCACCCCCAGGACTGCTTCAGCAGTTTTTCTTCTGGCTCCTTCTTTGAATTGAATGGACGTCCATACTGTGAGCTCCATTACCATCACCGCCGGGGAACCCTCTGCCATGGATGTGGGCAGCCCATCACTGGCCGCTGCATCAGTGCCATGGGGCACAAGTTCCATCCTGAGCACTTTGTGTGTGCTTTTTGCCTGACACAGTTGTCCAAGGGTATCTTCAGGGAGCAGAATGATAAGACCTATTGTCAATCCTGTTTCAATAAACTCTTCCCGCTGTAATCTTAACTGATCCACAGCCTCTTCAGATCCCCTGTAAAATTTGAACCAAGAAAGGAAAGAGCAAATTTGCTGTGACTGACCTTCTGCTTAGTAGGAATATAGAGAAAGTAAGGGTGATGAGCAAATAAGGAAACTTGTAGACATTATACAACTAGGTTTGCAATCTTATTTTTTTTTAAGGTTTCTAGTATTATTATTATTTTTTTTAAATCAGGTACTTGGATTTAGATTTTGGTTCTGCTATCTAGTCCCTCTGCAGATGTATTTTCTACATGCACAATTTATTTCACCACTGGTTTTCTCAGGTTTCTCCATTTTCATCTCTGCTGATGGCCCTGCTCACATCTTTTCTCCTTTGCTCTGTTTCTTTTCAAGCTCCCCCCATATCCCTGTGTTTACTCACTGTGTGAACTTTATATTTTCTGTCAGGAATCACGATATCACTCTTAAACTCTTTGCATCTCCCTCCAGTGTGTTTCTCTTTTTCAAGAGGAAGTAGATTTTTACTGGAAAGTTTTGAGTATGACATCATGACATCATTGGTAAATAAAGTGA